AGCTGTAGGGGGCGTCCCATTTTTCGTATTCCCACCATGCATTTCGGTGGAACACGGTGGAACACTTTTTTTGTGTGGAGAACTCTATCTTGTATTTCTAGTATCTTTGGTTTAAGACTATAATACAGTACAGTGTCCATGTAGGCATATTGGGGTGATCAAAAAACTACAGACCTGTATGATTTTCATAATGTACTGTTATGAAGACATTTAAACTGTAAACGCGCATTAGAATATCACTAGACAATACTTTTAACCCCTATTCAGGGAATTTATTGAAGTACATGGGCCGTTGGCCCTGATACAAAACATAATTTATTGTAACATGATACACTTCTTTCTTTTTCCAAACGCAAAGTAGACGTATTTTGCTAAATTTATTAATATATTCTGTATTTGAAAATAATAAAAAGAGCTTGTTGATAGATGGATATATATAAATAAATTGTGGAATACATTTGCTTCTTAAATCAGAGTAATATGGAATTTGCAAAATTAAATGAAATTCATCTTCAATAATATCGTTATTGCATATATTTTAGGTTACATTGTCCCGCTCAATATTTTCCGATCTTTTCAATCTCTAGTTCCAGTATCCCTTAACTTTGTCAATAACCGTTTGTGTTTTAAATTACTAATATTCGTATAATGATAACTTAAACTTACTGCTTTTTTATACAGAGTGAATAGCCTTAGCATAGAATGTAAACTAAACTTCTTAATACAGTTTTGTTTTTCAGATAATACAGATACAACTCAAAATTATCTCTTAAAATCTAAATTATAAAATCTAAATACGGCAGAAATAATATATGAACAAGGATAATGACTGGTGTAGACTGCCGGAGACCAAAGTCTCAAACTTCACTGAATAGCTCAATGTTAATTATCTCATGGAAAACTTTATTGACATTTCACGATCCTGTTTCTAACTCTTTGGGTAAAATTCCCACCCAGCACAGAAAAGCAGTATTACACTTTATATATTTAAATTGTTGCTATTTGCTGGCCCATTTTCACCTTATCCAAATGGATTATTTTCTTATCCATCTGGTTGGAGTATTTGAGTAACACCGTTCTTGTTCTTGTTTTTTTTTTTCTTTCTTTCGTTTAATACCTACGCCAACAAGGAATACTTATTCACTGCTGTCTGTCTGTCTTTCTGCAACATTACGCACAAACTAATGAATGGATGATCATAAATATTAGTGGAATAGTACATAATAATCGAAGAAAGACACATTCAATTTTCAGAAGAAAATGTCCAAATTCAATTAGGCCTATTTATCCTCGAGCATAGAAGAGAATACTGGAATCGTCCCTCGTAATTCAGGCAGCATTCAAGAAAATAATGTACCTGATTATGACGAAATTCTATTATTTTCTTGATGGTATGCTGCAGATTCGCCCACCATCATACACGACATTTGTATTCCAGCACGCACATTTTTAACGTAGGATAGTTTGAAAAATCTCATGAATTATTCATAATCATCCTTATAGAACATATTTTGCGCATGCTCTATTTTCAAGTCTGTGTCTGCCTCAATGATCAGCTGCTCTGTGCATTGTGAGGACCTAAGTGTTCGATTTAAAAAAACATAAACAATTTGGGCGAACTGAGCGGATACAATTGATTAATATAGGTCTAATTGAACAAAGGGTCTATAGCGAGCACGGTCTTATAATGAGTAATTTAGGCCTACATTGTTGCAACAAGATTAGATGGGCATATAGGCTTAATCAACTAAGGGTCCAGTGAGAACAATGATCTTTTATATTAGTAGGCCTACTTTACATAAGTTGCATAATTTTGCAAGTGTTACTTATAATCAAGTAACGTTAGAGCCTTCATTCAGTCTGTTATTGGTTTATTATATTATCGTGAACTTAACAAATGTTTCAAAGTAAGCATAAACGAAGCTTTTTTTTAAAAATTCCATTTTCCCACATTTTATGTATTTTATTAGCCATTTTTGTAAATTCTGGATATATTTTATGTTTAATGATATTCTGATTAAAAATTGCATTTTTATGTATTGTTTTTTTCCCCCTCTAGGAAATTCAAGTACTAATAATTCACATTTTTAAGTGTAATTTGGCATATATAACGTTAAATTATTTCTACATTGAGCATGTTAGCCTTTGTGTTGTTTAATGTAGGCCTATATGATTTTATATTATATATAGGCCATTGGGTTTTAAATTAAGAACGTCATTTAAATATGTATCATAATATAATAATAACGAGTGATGTATTTACATACTAATAAAAGTTTTTTGTATTAAATTGCTCATTCAAACAGACTCAGAACCTGACAATACTGAAAGTGAAGAACCTGAACACTCAATGGATGTTGCATCTACTTATCATTCACCAACCACAAGTTATGTCAGCGACAAACCCACAAATTGCACTTGTTTGAAAGTTCCTTGCATATGTGCCAACAATTTGAACGAATCGTTGGTCTACGAATGCCTTACGTGGTCTTGCAACTGTTCTTGGGATAATCTGGAAACAAACACCACTGAAGAGTGTAACTGCACCGCCATTATGTGTGAAACATGCCAATCAATAGTCTGCGGCATCATTGAAAATGAAATAGCCACTGGAAAAGTCGTTGCGTCACAAACCCAATCGCAGACAACTTACGATAATACCTTCACTGAAACAAATCGAAATACAGAGCATCAGGAAGATACAAGTAACAATCAGAGTATTCTACAGGGCAGTACTCAAAGTGGCGAGCACACGTCGTCAGTTAGTAGTCAGATGCAAACCACCTCGAGTCAGACCGGAAGCGACGGGTACAGTGCATACAGTAGTGCTGTATTCGAATCAACCACATCGTCGGCAATAAACAAAGAAGGTAGGAGACCTACAAGATTATACTTTATACCCTTAGATATTATTTTAAAGATTGTAAATTAAATTCTTTCACTCACTATATTTTTACTATTATATTATTAATATAATTATTGGGTTTATTTATTATGTTATTATTAATGATATTGTTGTTATTATTTTCAATTTAATATTGTCACTGATATTGCAAATATTAATAGTATTATTAATATAAAGTATATTGTATCATTATCATCATCATCATCATCATTATTTTATTAATTTTAATTATTTAGATATTTCAAAGTTATTTCACTAAATCCAAATTTGCCAAATAATGAAATGCCTACTTAACAACGATCAACATCAAAACATTTCTGAACACATTTGGTTAAACAAACAAAAACACAACAATTCAAAACAGGTAGCCAGATAAATTTCAAGTTTTAAAAGGTCTAGATTGACCGAAGAAACGTTGTTTTTTATTTTATTTTATTATTATTTTTTTTGTGGATAAATAAAATATCAATAGCCGTTCTAACTATACTCAGTCTGTTGTTATACCTTTTACCAGTTTAAGTATTGTGAATGAAACCACTTGTATTAATATTGATTCGGCTATCGGGCAAATTGCGTGAGTTGGGTCTATGAATTTTGAGTAAAAATAAACAATAAAGGACACGTAAAAATATGAGACGTTTGTAAAGGAAAAAGCTATACCAAAAATTGATTTACTAAAATAGGTTTAACAAGTGGAATATACAGACACAACTATATGTCCATGTAATAATAATATTATTTTATCTTAATTTATAGTGTTATTCCTGATTCTGAAATTAAAATTAAATTTAACTCAATATATATTATTTCATTTCATTTTTGCATAGGTGGTGGCAGTAAATATTCTACGACAGTGTTGATTCTTACGATATCAACAGGAGCTTTGGTCCTCGCTTTCGTCATAGGCTGCATTTGCGTTGTAGCTGGCTTAATAAGAAAGCCTAAAGAAAATAAAGTCAGTCCACAGTAACTACAGGATGTCAATGGTTCCTTAATTATACATTAAGAATAATAATATTTTGGCATTTGAGAGCTCTTTTGCGGAGTCCCACAGCAATTAAAAATGTATGAATCGATTGATTTTTTGATATACATAAACATAAATTATTGCAATCCATAAACTGATAGAGTTTAACCAGTTTTAATGGCGTTCCTTTATTATTAATGCATAATGAAGATCCTATCGAAGCCCTAATGTGTTAAATTGATCTTATTTATTATGGATATAGTTTTGGATACATAAATGTATAATAAAGAACCGTTAAATAATAAGCCATCATCATTATCATTGTCATCAACATTATCATCATTTTCATTATTATTATTATTCCTTCGTCAATAATATTACCTTTACCATTATCATGTTATCATTAAAGTTAATTAGGTGTAATCCATGTATGAGTGAATGAGTCTAGCAGCAGTATTAGTAAAAGCAAACAGGAAAGGCCGCTCTTAATACTGTGGCTACGCCTACAGCTTTCCAATATGGATGGATATTAAATTATATTTTACTACGTAGTCGACAAAAATATGACATAAAATAATGCTTAGTTTTTCTTAAATAATCTGTAGCCAATACTCCAACGATGGTACAATGAGAAATAATGACTTGATTATTATCTACACATAAAGAGAAGTCTATTCATATAATTACACTTCATTAATGGATTGTGTGATGATTTGAGCGTATAGTACCGGTATTATCCTTCGTGAGGTACGGTATATGTTGCAATGGCATTATTCTCTCACTAGCCAATGAATTATAAACTTTGAGGGCAGTACATCGATCTAAGAATTAAAGGAGCAAGCCCAAAATTCCAACGAAAACGTTTATTGTATATGGTATGGTGACCAATGCACATAGTTACCAATGTTAGTAGACTATGCATTTAGATTTCTAATAATTATTTTGTATATTGATGATCGTAGAAACATATATTCTATCGTTTTGTACGTTGATAGAAAAAGCAATAATGTAATAACAATTGTATGATAAATACATCAAGATAGGGATTTAAGTTACGAATGTGATTGTGACAAATTAATATATACTGTAAAATTTATAATAAAAACCCTGGGTTACTAAATATCCTTTGTTTGGTTTTTGGGGTGGGTTATAATTAGAATTAGAATATCAATTTCAATTCTCCCCAGAGGGAGACTTTATTCTGTATATAGGCCAACAGCCTTAAAACATAAACATTAGTGTGTCAAATAAAATGTTCGCTTCTTGTAAGCATGTACAATGAAATTGGCTAATGACTTAATCGTACTTGATTTCCTCGACTTGAATAACGAAACAAAGTAGAACATGTTTGCAATATAATTAGGAATAAAATGATTTCTTTCGTGATTATATAATGGGCATTTCAAAAATAAAATGTGTTATCCTGAATAAAAATCTATTGTTCAAACTTATATTTAGTATTTGTTTTTGATTACTTGTGTCCCGGAAGAGTCTTGATTTGTCTGATCCAGCTGGGGTTGTAGCCAAAAGGTATTGTTAAAAAAATATTACCGTACTATTTTATAAATGTTAAATTTGATTTATTATAATCTTCTAATTTAAAAATCGAAATAGGTATGCCAGGGCATACCACTGAATGAAGACATTCTGGAACTCACTCTACCGTCATTTAAAGAACTGTAAAACATACCAGCAATGCAAATAGACATAGCCGCACAGCTAACGACACCTGCCTACCGTTCAAAACAATGCCTTCGTGTCCACGTTTGAATTTCCCACTTCGGGGCTGGAAAAAACAACCAATTCTAGCTCTGTATAACTGCAATCCAATCCCCATCTTCGGTTGAGGGTCACGGTGCAGGTATAATAAACATATATATACACTTCTTAATATGAAAACTACCTTCTTTGGTTTCAAAATCCTGAATTTTAGGTCACAAATTGCGGAGCGATTCATTTACATATCACACAAGTTTGTCACAAATCCATGGTCATCCGAGTATTATTATATTACTAATAGAGTACTAGGTCACTATTAGTAAGTATAAATTAGGCATTGGAGAATATTTCAAAAGAAAACTTTTTAAAAAAAGCAGATTTTTGGCATCTGGAGCAAGATTTGAAATGGCGCCCTTTCGTCTTTCAGTTTTTAACCAAATTTACAGAGGGTGCCCTTAACCTAGCCGATCTGCGCCTTGGCTCTATGTACTACTACGCTCCTGTTGTGAAGTAAAAATGTTGACATGACTGCTATTCTGTCGTAATTTTGAAATTTCAATAGTAGGCATAACCCCAGTGGATTACTATTAGAGTATAGTGGGTCATTATTATAGCATGTATAACTAGTAATTGTTGACCACAGGGAAAAGAACTACGCTTTATAACCGCAAGGAAAAGGCGCATTATAAGTGCCCGAAACAGTACCGGGTTTCTATTAGAAGTTTTACGGTAATGTTAAGCTATAGAGGTAGTCCCGTGTTCATTAATGAAGGTATGGGAGAATACCGAACTTCTTATATTCCTTTGCTTATGCCCATAAGTTGGCTAGTAAATAATTTTTATTAAGGATGTTTGCAGTAAAAATTCTGTAGAATAATGACAATCTGAATTGTTTCAATCTATGTCTCGTTGGAAAATGATAGCTCATTTGATCCTTTGTCCAATATTTTAATTGAGTATTTCAAGATTTTCAGATTTTATCATAAACAAAAAAAACATACGATGATGTAAATTATAGTTAAATATTTAGGAATAGAATTTAAGCAATGTTAATGTGATGTATTTAAGTTGAGAAAGGGTGTGGCTTACCGCAATTATAATTATTACTTATAATTGTATTATCACTTTGTAATAAATATTTTATAAGTGTACTTAAGAATGAATGTGCATTCTAATATGCAACTGAGCTAACTTACATACGTGTACATAAATATGATATAGGTCAAAGTAAAGTAATGAGAAAATAAATTAATTATGTAAAGCGGTGAAATAACAAAATAAATGTGAAATTTCAGAATAGTACTTTATTAAGAGACATGCCTAGGCCTATACAGAAGTAGGCCTAGAAATAAGTATGGTAATGAAGAAAGATGTACAGGGGCGGATTCAAGATTCAAGACTATATATATAAGTATATATATATATACTGTCTCTTATACACATCTAGATGTGTATAAGAGACAGCATACCAGCAATGCAAATAGACATAGCCGCACAGCTAACGACACCTGCCTACCGTTCAAAACAATGCCTTCGTGTCCACGTTTGAATTTCCCACTTCGGGGCTGGAAAAATCAACCAATTCTAGCTCTGTATAACTGCAATTCAATTGTTGACACAACATAGATCAGCTATCAGGACATCTAAGCTTGATCAACCAGTAGCCGAACATTTCAATTTAGCTGGTCATTCAATTTCAAATTTCAGAGTGATTGCAACTGACCACAATGCCAGTTGGAGCGACAAAAATCGCAAAGATAAAGAGAATCACTGGGAACTTTTACTTAAAAACAACCACACCATTTGGACTCAATATTAGGAACGTTCTCCCAGTACACTAAATTAAACCAATGGCATTTCAATTTATTCTGGATAAATCATTTGGCTTATTTATTGAGGCTTGCCTCTAAAGTTTAGTTTTGGCCTTCCTGTTTACTAATTTAGGCTGTTTATTCTAATCTCATCCAGCCCATTGTTTCCAATCATGCTTGCATGAAATTCTCACTTTATACCATCTAGTTTATTCTACCCTCACTCACTCGCCACTGAGGAAGGACTAGTGTTGTCCGAAAGCTCTGGTTCTATTTCTGGCTGTTTACTTACGTTTAATTTTTAGCTGTTGCTTATCATTTTTGTATCTCTACTGAGATATATATAAAATAACACTGCAGTTGTTAACATAAACGCCGGACACTTTGACATAATTTGAGACATGTACATTTATTCAACGAAATTTTCGGCAGCACCTACTGCCTTCGTCAGCGTAAGAGTGTCTGAAGGAAGAGATGGTAATTTGGCTGTATTAACTAGATATGATAAACTATATATAATCTTAAACTAATGAACTGTTCCTTCAGTTCGTTATTGAGTTGTTAGATCGGGGACAAAAAGAGTTTAGAAGACAATACATGAGTTAAAACATTTAGTATAAATAGGCCGAATATATATTGAGAATACGTCAGGGTAGTCATAGGCCTATGTATATTATTCATTATGTATTTTTTGAAATAGACCTTTACAAAATGGCTTGAAAAGTGTACTGTTGTGTGTACAATTTTTGTATTAGCTGAATATTACAATCTAGCCGTGAAAATGGTTGGTTATCTTTTTCAACTGTACCTGTTAAAGCACCACAAATATTAATCTAGTTTACAGTATTAGTAACAATATTTTCACAAGCTAACATTTACAAAAACATTTACCATACTCATTATACTCAGTGGCGAGTATCTCCAGACTTGTCGTTTTATAATAGATTAAGATTAGGGCGTATAATATTATTCTCTGTGGCAAAATGCGCCGAGAACAACTGGCGCTGTTCCACTATGCACATGTGCACACGAGTGTAGCCCTCGGTTGCTTTTAATCGGATTCGGGACTTTTTCTCAATTGGTCAAATTGGACAACTTACAAGAGTATATTTGTTCTCATGAACTTTAAACGTAGAAGCATTCATGATCTACACGTACTATAGCCATCTCTCATCAGTTTATAAAATAAAAGGGGCCTTTTCATCGATTTACGAAAATCTATCCGGATTCTGTTACATGACATAGGTCTGATATTATGATAATAACCAAGATGTTGATGGTATTTGGGCTTGAATCACTCTCAAAACGTAGGATTTTATTATGCAAAAAAAATTGCTCAAAAAACTAGCAACGATAAAAGATTTAGTCACTGGTTCCCAAAAATCTAAAAATATCTCAACAATGAAACTCCGTAAACATAGAAATTATGAAATGCCTTTTATGTCGAACAAGAACGGTCAAGACGAAATGAAACATAACAACCAATGTTTGGATGGAAACTGTCATTTTATTTACAAATGACGAAAACAATTAATATAGCCAACTATGTAAAAATGGGCAGCCGCCAATAACTAGTACATAATTTTATTAAATATAATGTAAAAGCTGCCCTAAAATACTATACACCCTGAGAGTACAGTACGGTCATGAAAGGTAAATTATTGACTACATTCAAATTATACACTTAAAGCAAAATACATGCTTAAACCTCCGAATGCTATAATATACACAGAACATTAAGAGTTGTAAAACAAACATAATATTATATTTACGAAATTAGAACATACTATAATAATCATAGCACCAGTTAAATAACCAATATTCTGGGTGAACACGCCAAAACCCGACTACAGGGAAGGGTTACCACCAAGATCAATAATTGTTGCGGTAAATCAGGAGCAATGGTCAACAGACTTATAACAACATGAAATTATGTCGTGAGCATCTGCTTGAACGACACAGCAAAAAGAAAAATTTTAGTGAAATCCGACATACAGGGGAGAGTTACCACCCAGACCATCAACTGTTGCGCTAAATCAGAAGCAATGCTCAACAGACCCAATGCAAAAACGACTATTGCCTATAGTGTCAAAAGAGATGTTAATAGGTGATTTGCCCACCCCGGTCTTATGGTGACATACGGTAGTCAAAGAGGCTGAGGTATTAGACAAAATCAGATCGGCACGTTGAATTACTTTGTCGACATTCCCGTTACGCACATCTAACTCCCCTATCCGGAAAAAACATTGGAATAAAGTGAGGAAAAAGGCCCTAAAAAGAAACCAATGAAAAAAAAAACAAAAAAAAAAACAGGTTCAATGGAATCTAGAGCTTCTAACAACTTCACTAAAATATCTGCAGTGATGGGGAGCCTTATATCTGAACGCCTGGAAACTGAATGTACATCGCTCATTTGCACGAGAAATGAACTACATCGATCGGGCAAACCGGCCAGTTTGTGAATAAACGCTATCGAGGAAATAGTTGAAGAAATTGTTTTAGGTGCATAACACGTGCTATGCATATGGCGATAAAATTACAAATTGTCGCTGTAGAAATTGGCAGATGAATTGGTTTACCGATCAGGTAATCGGGTTTTCATTTGTACTGGTTCTTTTTTTTTAAATTATTTCTCTTGTATATTTTGACGTGATGTATTATTGCATTTTAAATGTTATCCAATTCTTGTTTTACCCTTTTCTGTACAAAATACTACAATTCAGTATTCTGCTACAAATCTATTTCTTTTTTATGAAAGAACTTTTTGAATAAAGATACCGATATATATCCAATAATAGACAGCATAGAGAAAGATAGACAACATTTGTCTAGTAATTTTCATTTATTCAAAAAAAAATTGGTCGAGATTACGGTTTTCAGTGCTCACGCCAATATATATTTTTATAAAAACCAGACACACCATGTTTATCATTCCATCAAAAGACAGAATTAAACCTACCTTTCAGTTTCTTAATGACATAAACAATTAGAATCCTCAGAGCTAGGATATGAAATACTGCAATACGGTGAATTATAAATTACAATGGCAACAAACAGTGGCGGATCTATGAATTTAAATTAGAGGGGGCCAAACGAGGGAACTTTTACAGATGGTGGTCTAAATCATCACTTCTGCCCCGCCGTTATTATCAAACAATAAAACGCATTTTATTTCAAAAGAGACATTCTATGAGCAAAAGTTAGTTACGCATATATTATTATATTACGCACTTTTTAAGTCAGATCTTATTCAAGAACTATCAGACAATTGTAGCCTAGATGTGGATCGGTCTATTAATGTCACTCTTCGCACCGTCGATAAATTAATGAAGTTTGAAGATTAAATTTATGATTATGGCACCTATAGATGGTCGGAAATGGCACTCTTAGATTTAAATGTGAGCATAAATTTCTTCTTTTTTTTCTCCCTTTTTTGAATAATGGAAGGGGGAGGGGTGGCTGGGCCTCCGACCCCTTAAATCTGCCACTGGCAAAGCTTTAAAATCAATTAGGTGTAAATCAACCTATTAAGAAAGTTGCTAACACCGTCTTCGTAATATTTCTTTTAGTTGATCTATAACATGATTATTTAAGAAGTACGATATACCGATATCAATCACTCGTCAAGTACTATCTACGTTGCCATATAGACAGGATGAGTCTCACGACGATTGGTCATTCGATGAATTATACCAGCTTATACACAATTACAATAATGATAGGTCGAGTGTAGCTTAGTATTATATTAAAGAATGAAGACACATTTAGTTTAAAAGAAAGGCATTCTATGAGTAGTGGAGCGAGTTGTTATATTACGCGCTTTTTAAGTCGGATCTCCTTCAAGAACCATCAGTTGTAGCTTGGTCGTGGGTCAGTCTACTTATGTTTCTCTTCGGACCGTATGAAGTTTTAGAGAATAAAATTTAATTGCCGGCAGTCACAGTAAGTAGACAATCAAGTTTTATTTGTATTATATTTTAAAGCAAAAATAATGTATATTTTGATATTTTCTCCAAGTTTTCATAAATAGGCCTATATAATTAAAATCCCTGTTTTCAATAATTTCCACCCGAGCACACTTCGAATTAACGCTATAGCATAGAATGATATCGGTCGAATGTTTAAAGTAATCTAGATGGGATGGTGTAAACAGAAAAGGCAATTATTAATTAATATTTCTGTATTAAAAATCACAAATACCTGAACAATGACACGTAAAATTTAATTTGATTCTATCTGCGTTACTACCCGTTGCATTTAAATAGTGGAAGGGATTTGTATAGCTTGCTGTTGCGGTGTTGTAATAGTATATTTTGAGTATTAAAGAAGCGTAATCTACTATGTAAAAGAAATCCGTCTATTTGTCCCAGGGAACAGTGAAGTTCTAAGATATCCCATAAATAGGCAATCAAAGTTTCGGTCAAGTCACCGAAATATCTCGTTGATTCTGATTTTTAATATGTTTTGGCAAATAGCAAACAATCTATTTGTATTTTATGTACATTATGTTCTCAGTGAAAGATATGTAAATAGATACTGTATATAATTGATACCGGTACAATAACATCATATAACGTATTACAGAAACATAAATTTATCAGGCACGAATCTTTCGTCCGATCCTCAGGCAACATGAAATGTTCGGTATCTGTAATCGTCTTTCTCTACTGTATCGTGCTCTGTGTTGCGGATCCTGAAAGTAGGTTTTTGTCAAATCATTTTCATTTCTATATACGGTAGTTATGTTTTTTATATATAAATTGTGTATAAATTAAGTTTTCTTCATTGGTTATTGCTAAAATAGTCATATATTTTCTACTGCATTAAATGAAAAAAATCAGCAGATATAACTATACTGGTAATTGTAAGTTCCAAACGATTCTGTTCTTTAAAAATGTATTGATCTTCATAAATACAAATGCCTCATCATCTCTATTTTTGGTGTTGTACTTCAAAAGCTAGGATAAACACGACTTTGGCTTTAAGCTTCCTTTTCTTATAGCTTCCTTTTCTATAACAGAAGGGACGCCATGATTTTGCTCGGCGGTGTCCGATGTTCTCAACGGGTTGGGAGGGGGATATTCCTCCATCGAGAGCGCAAATGTGTCCGGTAGGGCGACGCTTAAAATCTCACAGAAGTGGTCTAGGGGACGAAGCCCCAAAAACTATGACAAAGTCTCTCCCACCCTCACTGTCGCCAACCCTGCATAACTTGGTTTACTGCGCAAAAACCTACACTTCCTACTACTGTACCAGTTGCCTACTGGATTATTTAAAGTGTGGTCTTCACTCAGCAGAGCCGATTATATAACTTGAAACTTTCCAAGTAAAACAACTGGGGTTTCTTTTGTCAACATCGAACTCTTGGCGTTTTACGAAACTTTGTTAATTGATTACTTGATATGACCCAGGAATTACTTGTGAACAACTTAAAAAATAAATTCACTTTTTATTGATTCATAGGTTGTCAAATTAAAAAAAGCAATGAAACGAATAAACGATTTGTGGAGTTACGCAACGGTATCACAAATATCTCTTTCGATGTTGTCACGAAACACATGATCTTACGTTTGTCAAAAGACGAGGATGTTCAGCAGCATGACATCAGCATTACATTTAAAAAGGACTATGTTAGTGTTGGTTCAAACATCAGCGAAACTCGTAGAGTCAATGGAAGCGTCTATGTTGATCGAGGTTTCCAAGTAAGGATCGCATTAAATGACCAGACTTTACGGATTGGACATAACAACAATTTTTCATTTTTAATATTCAATCTGCATGAGCATAATAAACACCCAAAATACCTCTGGTTTGATGAATTGGAGTCCCGTGTGCAAAAATGTCTATTACGTAAGTATAATTTTAGTACAAAAGTTTTCAAAACGCCAACAGAGGCGAGGGCACCGTGGGCTTCAGGTGCCCAGCTCAGCCGACCCGTCCCGCCCTCAACCCCAATTTTTTTGAAAAGAAAATTATATACGTTACAAATTTCCGGCCATAGGCATTTATGAAATAATTGTACTCATATAGGCCTAATTAATTTTAATGCAAGTTACGGTACCTGTTGTCAACCCTCCCCCATCGCTTCCCTGTTCTCTGGTCCTCACTTCCGTCTGAACTAAAATATTCTGCAGTCCTTTCTCGGTTTTCTTAAGGCAAGGTAAACAATTTTTTCTCAACGCTTAAATTTTTTATCGTTTTTTTTTAAATTTTATCAATTATTCAATTGTGTGCGAAATCTGTGTTTTTTAAATTATTATTTTAATTGTCTTGGCCTTTCACTTTTAACATTTTAAACCTTTCTTTTTATATACTCGCTAATAATGTAGTTAAGTTTAGTTTTCTTGGGCTCCAGGCTTTTGTCATGGTGATTTTGTCGCTTTTGGGGCCCCAAGACACTTGTCATTTGATTCATCATTGATTTTGCACAATAACTCTGTATCAAGCATCTAGCCTAATAATATAATACGGTAATCATTGTGCAAAATCGATTTTTTTTTAATGACGACAGGTACCGTAATATTACCGCATATTAAATGAGAATATGTGTACAATTATTTCATATAATGTGCTAATCATTCTCAAATCTTGAAAACATGGTTTGGACAATTTATGCAGAGTTATTGCAAATAGGCCTAATCGATTTTCCTTTAATTGCGGAAACTAATTTCCATATTTACATAGGTATATAAGGCCTCCGGTGCATTTCATTAGTTTACAGATTTGTGGCTAACCATACTCCCTAACACTGAAATTATGCCTTAGGATACTTAATTTGTCATGAATGAATGTTTAAGACACAACATAACTGTGAAAATTCAATTTTCTTGTAATGGCAGTCGCTAATTTACATATTTAACATAATTATAATATGCATATAATTAATTCACAAATTTGCTAATAATATTCTCAAACTCTGAAAACATAGGTATAAACACTGTTTAGTGCAGAGTTATTGCTAATAATCGATTTTCCTTTAATGCAAATTAGTGACTTCTGGGTTGAAACTCATAATAATATGTCATTCAGCACAACCTTATAAACCAGAATGAACAATAAAACACACTTTTGCACTTTGTTTGACTCAAGGCATATTTTTCATCTAAATCTGCTAGCCTAAGAGATCAATTTGATACGTCCTCTTCTTGAGCATGTTAAACGACAAGATGAAATCTCCGAACAGATACTTTATTATAAGAAATGTAACACGTCAACAGATATAAATTGATGTGTATGTAAAAAGTGCTAGCGCAAAACGATTCAGAGTTTATCTCTTAACGTGTCACGTGTTACATATATTATATATATTATATATTATATCAGGATATAATAGAGATAAACTCTAAACCATCTTGCAGTAATACTATAATTATATATAAATTTTGAACGTCAGAGAAGAGGAATCTGCGAGTGTAAAGAAAAGTTGTCCTAACCAGGATTCGAACCAGAAACATTGGTTGGATTTTATTTATTTTTTTGGGGGGGGGGGGGAGTTGGGGTATAACTCATTGGAAAGTATTATGTCCACTTAAAGTGTCATTTACCCCCACCATGGCAGCCATCCGGAATTGAGGGGTGGATTTAGATATGGGGATAAACGGGATTTAGCGCACCCCCAACCTCTAAAATGTTACGAACAGGCATGTCTTTTTACGGTGAAATAACAGCCTAATAGGTTGGCCGTCATTTTGCAATAATACTCTATGTCCAGAGCACACACCCGAATGACTAAAAGCTGTATATATTAAGCATATTGCAAATCAATCCTATGCTACTACGATACCTACCTATACTTATTATATACTGTATGTAATCGTACATCATTAATGGCAACCATTGGTCATTACTTTTAGCGTAATCTTGCTAACAGACAGAAACTGAAAATCAGAGGCAACGGTGAATACATAACCTCCTTGGCGGAGGTAATTATGCAGAATTTAACAATACAATAATAATTATTATAGTAATACAAATAAGAATAATGATTATGATGATGATTAATTACGATAATGATGATGATGATGATAATTAGGGCTATGATAATTATAATGTTGATAATAGAGTTTAAATAAACATCAAATAGGGCCTAGCCCTATTATGGATTTTTTCAAATCTTAACTTTAAATTCCCAGATTACATTAAGGAATCCGACTCAAGCTCGACCAGCGGCACCAATACCGATCCAGATTCGACTACAAACTCGGACAGCAGCAGCAACCGCAATCAAGATTCACGCTCAAACTCGGGCAGGGCCACCAATATCAATCTAGATTCGACCACAAGCTCGGGCAGCGGCAGCAATAGCAATCCAGATTCAACCTCAGACTTAGGCAGCCGCAGCAATAGCAATCCAGACTCGACCTCAAACTCGGGCAGCGGCAGCAACAGCAATCCAGATTCAACCACAGATTCGGGCAGTGACAGCAATAGCAATCAAGATTCGACCACAAACTCGAGAAGCGGCAGCAATAGCAACCCATCAAGCAGTAGAAGCGACTATCCTGGCGGAGAGATCACAAACGAGGAAGTACCTTCGAACTGCTCATGTACTGAAATTCCGTGCACATGTCCAAGTCATGAGGTTGGCTGTGCTCTGGTTACTTGTAATTGTACTTCAAACATCGGAGAGCCATTTACAGTTTATAATTGTGACTGTGTTCCTAGAGAATGTTTATCAGACGGTAACAGATATGGTGACAGTACGGTTGACGATGGTGATGGTAAAGGCAGAAATACGACCAACGGAAATAGTGGAGCGTGGAATGACGGAACCCATGGCTATAGTGATCAGAATGGGGGGAATGCAAATGGCTACCAGGGATCGGAAAACGGTGGAATGTATTACAATGGAACAGAAAATTCGGAAGAGGAGCTTGGCAGAATTGGAAATGGTGTAACCGGAATTGGTAACGTCAGAGCAGTAAAGGGCGACAACATAAGCAAATCTACGACAGAGTCTGACGCCAATATTGAAACAGAAACAATTACAGCCAGTAAGTATAATAATCATAATATTGTTTTCTAGAAATGCCAAAAAAAGGAAAAAGATTCCCACATATAGGCCTATTTTGTGATATAGGCCTTATACTGTATGTCTATGTTACAGATATGAATAATAAATAAATACTTATTTAATGAGTTTCTTTTTTTCTTTTTTTTAAGGAACTGCTCGTTTATCCCCAATGCTGATCCTCTTAATGGCGCTGACTGCTGCCGCGGTTCTCGTCTCCGTGATTGGCGGTTGTTGCTGCTTAGCAGGTATACTGATGCCGACAAATAGAATAGTACCGGAGCAAGTATCACCACTAAAAGCATAATGCATCAGTGTATACCACCACAAGCAGCCTGATCCGATATTAAATCGGGATTTCTGCCTAAACCGAGACTTACATTTACTGACACTGTGTTCACTTTAGTGGAGATCCAGCGGCTGTTTATGCATTTTATTGAGTGTCTGCTGTAGTTATGTTAAGTAATTAACAATTTTATAAGGAATCCTTTATTGATTCAACTAACTTTTCATAAATATAATGTTGGTATCATACGCATTTAAGATACACTATATGCAAGCAAAATTCATTAAAATTAAATATTGGAAATTATTAGTATATTGTAAACCAGTTAACAGACGAGCGCATATTATATAATAATAACTATTCTTCGCATACATTCTAAAATTGTCTAGCAGTCATTTATAATTATGTTTATACAGTTAAAAGTAAACCTTTTGAACTAGGCCTGCAGTGTTGTATGTACATCTAAATGGATTGTTTGACGACGAGGTGATTTGTTTCATGTAACAAATTATGGAATGGGGGGAGGGGGCACAACATTTTCAGAACACGTAAGTGAGTAGCACATAACTTTGATTTGCATTGAAAATTTTAATGGCAAAACGGGGAGGGGGAACGGGCCTCGCGTTCCCCCTACTGGATACGCCCCCTGCTTCCCCAGGGAGCTGAATATGTGTTTCATAGTATGCATCGTTCCAATGACTTCGGTAATAATGTGAAGGAAGGGTTGCGCCAGCAGGTGGGCCAGCTGGACCCGGACCAAGCTGTCAGTGATGCCCAGCCAAGCCATCGGGGAGTCGCATACACGTCAAGGCGCACGCATTTCAGGTCTGTCTCATGATCTCACGCTTAAGGACCAAAATCTCACGCATAAATTTAATACTGAGCATAATAAAATATATAATATATATATGTATAATTTCTAGCTCTCTCGCTAAATATTTATCATCTAATGTACTTAAAGTAGGATTCCTGATGATGACATAATTAATGTCGAAATATTGAATCCCAACACGATGGCGTGTATTTCAATACTTGGAGTATGTATTATACTTTCCTAAAGTAGGATTGGTTTAGGATAAAATGGTGCACTACACCAGGGCTAATTTGGTTCGCTTTCTATTTTTTTTCTTTATTTATTCGGTATAAAAAACACAAATTTTAAACATCAGCCAAGGCTGAAATGGTTTGTACTATAATTTAAAAACACAAATACAAAAAGATTAAAATAGAGAAAACATTAATATCATTATTCAAAAATCTATATAAAAATATGATGATGATTGATTCCAATAGCAACAATTAGGAAAAATATAAAAATACATTAAGTTTAAAAATCAATATAAAAATGTAATAACGTTTATTATTGCAATTATTAAGAAGAGAAAAAAAACATTAAAAACAATTAAGAGGAGAACCTCAGTGAAATTGTCAATTAAAATTCATAGAAATCGATAAAAGGAGAAAAGAAAAGTGGAGGAAAACACAAGACAACACACAGAGTCAAAAATTAAAAAAACAAGGAAAATTTAAACAAAACCTCTAAATTGGATGATTATAAGGGATCAGTGTGAAAAATTGAAATTTCGATCGTGGACGACATCTAAAGTTGTCATAACCTTTGCCTCAGTCCCAACCGTGGGAGGTTGATGTAAACGTGGCCCATCTGTCGGGTAACGATGGACCACTGTCTGGTGCCACTCCTGCATAATGTGACGCCTTAAGACCTTAGTAGAGCGCTATATAAATATGACATGTGGAAATAGCAATGAATATTTAATAGATTGCTTTCACAAAAAGCACTTCGTTGAGAAGCGATTAAACACAAGACTCAAGGTCTAGAAAATACGAATTGAAAGCGCGATACAAAGGCCATATATATTTTCTCTAATAAATATGAATAATATAATATGATATTTTCTTCATAATTATATATTCATATATATAATATCTGTCTCTTATACACATCTAGATGTGTATAAGAGACAGTATATATATATATATATATATATATATATATATATATATATATAGCTCCACTATTGAGTGTTTCAGTATGAGAGAAACTGTCTGGGGTTAGATCTGCAAGATCCTATAGGTCTCCGTGGCCTAATGGGTATGACAATCGCCTTGATAGCGAGAGGTTGCATATTCAAATCCCGCCGGGACCTTTTTTGCATACAACTGATGAAAATGAACTTTTTGTTGATGAGCTATGCTTGATACGATTATTACAACATGTTATTTATTCGAGCACTGTTATTATTATTTGCTTATATTGTGTTTACGGTGCCATCAGCAAACTTGATTTGAATATTGTTCACTATGATTTCTCAGTTGCGACCTACAAGCTTTTCCAGCTCCACTATGTGTGAGAGTTTCAGTCAGTTGGATGGAGAGAAACTGTCAGGGGTTAGATCTGCAATCCTTAGATCTCCGTGGCCTAATGGGTATGATAATCACCGTAATAACGAGAGGTTGCGAGATGCTCAAACCGCCAGACACTTTCTTTCATACGACTGATATAAAGGGAATTTTCGTTGATGAGCTATGCCTGATACGATTATTACATGTTCCTATTCGAAACTGTTGTTATTATTTATCTATTTGTTTATATTATATTAAATAAACATAGATAAATAATAATATAACATGACTGAGGTATAGGATAATAAGATGTTATAATAATGAAGTTTTTTATTTTCTGTATGAAACAAAAAATGTCCGTGACGTGGGCGTGATTCGAGCCTGCAGCCTCTCGCTATCAAGGCGAGTACCAAACAGACCCATACGATATACGCACAGATCTAACCCCTAGGCACTCTCCTTCATACAACTGATTTATACACTCACATAAGGCCCCGTAAAAAAAATATTAGTTTATCACCCCCTCCCTTATCACTTTTGGGAAAATTCGGATTTTTTTTTTTTTTTTTTTTAATCAACATATATTTTTATCTCAAAAAGTCGTTTTTCCATCTTTTTTTTACTTGAAACATCAGGATTTCTTGCAAATATGTTTACTGGTAGGCCTACAACAAAAACATCTTTTTTAATAAAAATTTGATTTCATTTTTTATAACTTTTTATAAATTTGTCCTTAACCATTGATTTACTTGCGAACATCGATAAAATGGGGGTGGAGTTAGCAAAAAAAAAAGAAGAAAAAAAACCTCCCTTCCTCATCAGTTTTTATTCTTTGATAGGGTGATAAACTAATTATTTTTTATGGGGCCTAATGAAGCAATTTTTAAGCTAGAAAAGCTTGGTCACAGTTGGGAAATCATAGTAAGCCTAATTTGAATATAATTATATATATATGTATATACTATTGGAAAAGTAAAAAGGTTAAAGGTACACGTTGGATGGGCTTGTAAAATCTTTGTAAGATACGATGGTTTTATTTCACAAAGAGTATATTTTACTTTATATTAATATATTTTTACGATATTCTCTATTTATAAGATCTTCGATTTGTAATTACATTTGTATTGACTTGGTATTATATAAATGTTTTAAACTCTCCAACCTTCTTGACGAGTTTTATTAGTATCGGTTGTTCACAATGCTCTCCCATTTATATTCATATAATGACAATGCTACAAACTAATCAACATACAAGCCTAATAGCTTGGAATCATAGACACGCATATAACAACAGTGTATGAGAAATTACTGGATAATCGAAAGTTAATCGAAAGGGGCATCGGCGATGGAGGTTGTAGGCTATACTGATTCAAATCTCGAAAATGATGGCATAGCGGTGATGGTTTCCCCGACCAGGGAACAGTTAAATTAACTGTTCCCTGCCCCGACGAAGATGCAAATGATTTAGTGCTGAAAATAAAGTTGATATGATGATGGTGGTAGCAGTGGTCATGACTTCTACTAATGAATCAAATAGTAAATTCTTTACGTTAAATAATTAATAATTATCACAGGCTTGGACCCTGGACATCGCCAAAACACATACAAGTTCGAAATTACGAATAGACCAGATTCGATTGTCAAATAAATATTAAATTAATATATTAGAACAGTGGCCGAATAAAGGCCAGACGGTGGCGCCAGTAATTTGCCGACAGCGAGTCCAACATGTCCGACAGGGGATCCGAATCGTTGGGTCCGACTAGAGTCTCGATCAGGGTTCTGGCATAAAATTCCCTGGTAGGGTTCGCGGGGAGAATTTTTAGGGTTTAGTGTGGCCCACATTGGGCTTTTAGACCACAATATTTGGGATTGGCAATCAAAATAACGTTATTTGGATAGGCAACATTGTTGATTTTCAACATTTTGCCATTTTTTTTTTTATTTATAGGGCCTACATAAGTACGGCTCCTCCCTGACCCACCCCATCATGTTTTCAAAAGCACAGTATGCTGTACTTCTGTACGACGGTGAAGGCAAGATCCTGCAAACTGGGTTTCGGTAAACTGGGGTTGTCGTGATTTTCGTGAACCGGATTCGGCTATCTGGCTTTCAGCAAGTGGGCATCATGAACTCGGCAAACTGGATTTCGAAAAACTGTCGGATACCGACAGTAGTGGCGATTATGTTGATAGCGGTAGTGATGATTATGAGTGATGATTATGGAGATTAATGCCCCTTTCCCACATTCACGATTTTTGCTACGATGGAGCACGATTTTAAAAAGTTTTAAAATCGCGCTCTATCATAGTGATTCATACTCAAACAGTTTTACGTTTCATCAAGACGCTACTAGGACGCCGTCAAGATGTATTACGGCACTAATGCGATAGTGCGACGACATTTTTACGAATTATAACGATAGAGTTACGATTTGTGACGACGTACTACGACTTACAAAAAAAATTTTAATTTGACGTCACTACGATTTTACAAAGACGCAAGCACGACGTTAGCACGATTTAACAAGACGCACATCACAAAAACAAACATGACATGACATGACAAAAAAGCGCACTGCTCAAACACCATCAATATTTGCAAGTTGCTGCTATAGAAGAAGAAAATTTGTTGGCTGCTACAGTTTTGATAATCAACACTTACTAGTAGAGTTAAATAGAGAAGACCCAAGATGCTTTAGAAACTTCCTCCAAGTGAGCAAGGAATTGTTCAGTGTGTTGAAAAACTTTTTTGACAAAGAGCCACGTGATATAAACCACGGTCGTCTTATTTTATCCTGGTGGCATCGTATCTAATCGTCTCAGCACCGCAGAGACGTCTCGGCTTGTTGTTGGTAGTACGAATGGACAAGGCACAGTCACGACAAACGACGACAATGTTACGCCACTAACACGATGCCGCTGTGGTAGACTAAGATGTTTGTCACACTGTATTGTGTGTCTGTGTGTATAATTATTATACAAGACGAAATAAATGAAATGAAATTGAGATGCTGCTGCTGATGATAATGATGATGGTGGGGATGATGGTTAATAGACTGGCTGGTAATAAATATAAGATTTTATAAGTTGTTACTGATAGTGGTACAGCAGTGTCCCTGTCTCTTATACACATCTAGATGTGTATAAGAGACAGCATATATATAAGCCTATAATATATAGAAACCATGTGAGGTCAGAATATCTTTTCTGTTACATTTCATAAATATTTATTCATTAAAAATACACAAATTTAACAAAATGAATATTACACAGGTTTTATATTTGGTGGTGGCGCCAGGGATGCCAAACAGGGGGTGGGGAAGCCACCAACGGGAGCAAAAATGGGCAGTACAAGGGGATCTGGGGGGCCTAACCCCCAGATGATCAGGTAATTTCTGGATTTGAAAAGCTTTTTTAATATACTGTATTATCAATAATTATTTCTATATCAAATTATACATTCAAGGTTACATCAATGCATCATTAAAAATATGGATTTACTGTGGAATGGTGCAGTAATAATATTATTTTTAACAAATATATAGTTTATTTCTCTTAACCTAAATTTTGGCAACATCGTGAATACAGTATCGTATCTGCAACTATACTTACTGCATTTGAATTTACAGTATTAGTAAAATTTTTAATAAAAATCTGAATCTTAATTAATGACAAATATATGTAATGTAGAGACTACTAAGAAATTTATAGGAAACATAAATTAATGCATTGACAGTAAACGCATTAAGATATTGTGAGTTTGGAGGCATTACTACGCTCATCGAAGTTGAATAACACAGATATTGCATAGAAAAAAAAACATGAAACGTAC